ATATGGTATGGGGGGCACGGGGCTGTGAGGCACCATATGGTATGGTGGGCACGGGGCTGTGAGGCACCATATGGTATGGTGGGCACGGGGCTGTGAGGCACCATATGGTATGGTGGGCACGGGGCTGTGAGGCACCATATGGTATGGTGGGCACGGGGCTGTGAGGCACCATCATGGTATGGTGGGCACGGGGCTGTGAGATAAACTGACCACCACCTCGCGTTCTCAGGCAGCAGAGAGCAGCATTTTTCTAAATGCCCGCTGTCTCCTGACCTGTAAACAAACAGTAAGGTCCCAGCTTGGCTGACGCGGATGCTGCTAAATCCCAGGTCGCGCGGCTCATAGAGAGGTCTCTGAGCCCAGCCCAGCGCCACCCGGGCCCGTGGGGACAGGCGCGGAGCCAAGCGCCACGCGGGCCTGCTTGCTGCCTGTCCTGCTCGTGCCATGTCTCTTGAAAGGCTCCGGGGAGTGTGGTGAAACAGACCCGCCACACTCCAGCTTCTCGGCCTCGGTTCTCACCAGGAGTCGGCGGACAAGGAGAGAAATGAACCGTCCTCCGAGAACACAGAGACAGTAGACACGGGTGATGTGCCCCCGCCCACCGAAGCGTCTCAGGTTCGGTTCTCGGTCAAGGGCGCCTACCTGGGTTGCAGGTTCACTCCCCGCCGGTCGGGGTGTGTGCCGGAGGTAACCAGTTGAGTCTCACATTGCGTTTCTCTCTTTCCCCTCTCCCTCCCTCCCTCCCTCCCTCCCTCCCATTCCTCACTGACACCAAACACAAGTCCCCAAGACCACCCTGCGGCTCTTCAGTTCTCTGAAGCAGCGGGCGCCCGCCGGTGGTCCGTGATGTCCGAAAGGGTGGCGCCCGCTGCTCTAAAGGACTCGCTGCGGGTGGTTGCAGCAGGAGCTACAGACCCAGGTCAGCCGGAGGTCCCAGGCAGAGGCCTCCAGCGTCCTCTCAGGGGGCGTGGGCAGCACTGGCCTCCTACAGCGCTGTGACATCACACACTGGCCACTGCCCACACGGAGGCTCCCCGAGCTCGGCGTCCAGTTTTATTGGGACGCAGTCACAGACGTGGTCGGCCGCCGGTGTGGCTGGCCTTAACCGCTGCCCTCTGCGGGATGGGCTGATAGCACACGGCCCCAGGCCCCACCCTAATCACATCACTGACGGAGCCCAGGCTCCCCCGTAACCTGAGACCCTCGTGTCCTATCTGGGAGGACATTCCAAGAACGTGGAGGTCCCCTCGCAGGAACCGGGGCAAACAGGCCTCTCTCTCAACAAGGTCGGTTCTTGGCTGCCCAGCAGTGAAAGGTTAAGGTGTTTTGTTTTAGGAAACTCAGCTGGGAGCCTGGGCTTCAGGCCTGGGGCTCATAACATTCAAGGAGGAGGGAGAAGTGGCCTGGTGAGCAAGAGAAGGGAGAGGCGGTCAGGCAAAACGGATGAATAAACGAACGAGGGAATCGAGGAATGAGCGCGCAACTGAAATTCTGGCATTCTGAAGGCGCGTGGTCGTGTCCGATGAGAAATTAACACAAACTCTCAACAAATTAACACAAACTCAGTGGCTAAATACAAGAGTTATTACCTTGCAGTCCTGGAGGTCGGACGTCCGAGGGGGCGTCACTGGCCAAAAGGAAGGTGCCCGTGGGCTGGGTTCCTGCTGGAGGCCCCGAGGGAGAATCCATTCCCTTGACTTTCCCAGCTGCTGGGGACGCCCACATACCTGGGCTCGTGGCCCCTCCGTGCCAGAGCCAGAGACCTGGTGCTCCCACGTGTTCCCACCATCCCATCTCCGCTCACCCTGACTTCCTGCCTCCCTCTCACCTGCACGGGCCCTTGTGCTTACATTGGACTCACCTGGGTCTCTTCCCGTCTCTGTCCCTAACGTGTGTCTGCAGAATCTCTTGGACCAGTGGTTCTCAACCTTGGCCGCACATTAGAATCACCTGGGAATCTTTTTAAAATCCTGATTTCTGGGCCTCATCCTCCGGAAATTCTGTTTCTTGTTATGGCATGTTGTGGCCCCACCCCATAACAAAGAATAACAAAGAAACAGAATTTCTGGAGGATGAGGCCCAGAAATCAGGATTTTAAAAAGATTCCAGGCTGATTCTAATGTGCAGCCAAGGTTGAGAACTGTCTTGGACCCTGGAAGGTGGCATATTCCGGGGGTTCGGACATGGGTGACT